TATCTCAGTGGGCTAGCACTATAAATCCAGCTTAAGTCTGGGCTAGTACAAGCAGCCGCACATACCCATACACACGCATGCACGTCGTCATATAAGCGAAATACTCAAGCACGACGTAAAACCCAATTTCACCTCACCGTCGTGCTTGGGAATATTTCGCTCATATGACGACGTGCATGCGTGTGTATGTGTATGTGCGGCTGCTTGTACTAGCCCAGACTGAAGCTGGTTTTATAGTGCTAGCCCACTGAGATACCATGCCGCAGTGAAGCATGAATACCCCACTCAGACACATTATACTGACTCCGAGCCGACCAGTCCTTGTTGTACCCATTAATGCCGAGCGCCAGGCAGGGACCAATAAGTACCATATTTTAACACCTTTTGGTATGACGCGGTCGAGGATCGAACCCGCGACCTTCCGCTCTCCGGGCGGACGCTCTAACCACTACACCACGGAGGCGGTCTTGAACACAACAATTTAAATGGCCCTCACATGACAACTGAACGGCTAGTTGTAGCTTTCGTTCACATTCGAACCAGCCTCAAAACATTTGATCTTGCACAAGCATTACGTTATTATAGAATTGATATTTTCTATTCTGAATGACCCTTCGAAAGTTGAAATTGTTTTATGGCTCCATTCATGTGAATAGTAGCATCAATTAAAGCTTCACGCGTGTTTCTTTTGTTTTTTGATCAATATATTTATAAATATGTCACACCTAAATCTTCATGAAATAGGTTCCAGAACAGGATAAAGACATTGTGTTGATCATATATGTTAAGTTACATCACAATTCAGTGAATCCAATTTATATGTTTTGGCCGATATTGTAAAACCCTCGACAGGCTGGGATCTGGCTGGTGAACTTCGGCTCCGTACAGTCCTCGTCACCCGTCTCAGCCTTGACACCTGATTCATCGCTTCAGGTGACAAGCATAGGTTGCTGGGAACATGTTCCACAAAGGTAACCCTCAATGGTGCCGCAAGTAGGGTAGAGTGAACTCTGGGGCATTGCCATGCGATTGCAGTAAATCAAACTTGAAAGTTTTGAGACAACCATTTGATACAAACATATGAAAGTGGGAAGTGGCAATGATATATGACTTCGTTATCGATTTCCCTTCTTGTTATATAAAAGGGGAGGCATGCTGGTTATCATATCTGTCGAGTCAGCACTTTGTACCGACTCTGCCACATAACAATGTTAGACAAGCAGATTTATGTGTTTCAATAAGCACATTGAGTTACAACCATAGTGTTAATCATTTCTCTCTCTTGGAACAGATGCTGGTGCATCCATCATCGTCACTGGTGCTGTTAATCCACGGCACAGACTTTGGTTATGATCATAAGGAAGACATATAGGTACATGTATATAGACCAAACCCTTTTACTATATGAAACGATATTAATAGGGCAGGGTCTATACACCTACATGTCTTTCTAACGCTGTTTCTAAGCGAGACGGGGCGGTGGGGTAGCCTAGTGGTTAAAGCGTTGGCTCGTCACGCCGAAGACCCGGGTTCGATTCCCCACATGGGCACAATGTGTTAAGCCCATTTCTGGTGTCCCCCGCCGTGATATTGCTGGAATATTGCTAAAAGCGGCGTAAAACTAAACTCAGTCAGTCAGTCAGTCAGTCAGTCAGTCTAAGCGAGACACGCCCCTATGGATATGATGTCATGGCTATTAAGACGTATCCAGCAGGTGCATGAAAAATGTTCATGGAATTATTGGTTTGCATGAAATATGTCGTGATTAATGTATCATGTTAAGTTTGCTAATTCTTCAGAGTTTAATTTACTTTTATGCCGCTTTTAGCAATATTCTCGCAATATTCCTTGGGACACCAGAAATGTGCTTCACACATTGTGGGGAATCGAACCCGGGCCTTCGGCGTGACGAGCGAACGCTTTAACTACAAGGCTATCCCACCGCCCCTAAGTTCTTTAGATCTTCCAAGCAAAACAGTTTGGAATGTGGGTGTCCCGTTCTAGGGGAAATTTAACATGAGGAGAAATTAAGAGCACTACTGCTGCTGCTGCTGCTGACCTGGAACGATCCGGGTTGGAAATGGTCTTCAGCAACCCATACTTGTGGTAAAAGGCGACAAATGGGATCGGATTGTCTGGTCCAGACTCGATTATTTACAGATTTGCAGCGTTAAACCATACACACACAAAAACAAAACAAAACAAACAAACACACAAACAAAAAGCTACAGAGACTTAACAGCAGTCAAAGCAGTCTAAACATTTTACATGTGAGGAGGAAAAGTCGAATAGATTCCCCACATGTCCTATTTCTTGGCTCACGCTGATATTGCTATTGTACCGCTAAAAGCGACGTAAAATCATGCTCACTCACGAGTTAGTTTCCAAACATTGGGTAAATAGTACCAGACTGTAACCATTCCTTGTGCTTCCCTGCGAATACCCGCCAATTAAAGTGAGAAACATGTGCTGCTTTCGATTTAACAACAGAGTAATATAATGTTGTTTTACGCCATACACAACTGTAGCATGACGGCCTGTAAAAAATTGGGACCAGTGTTTGACAGCATAGAAAAGGTCCATCCGATGACAAGCAAACATTAATGACCAACCGATCCTCGTTTTCGTCAAGCAAAATTGTACTTGTAACCTATCAGTGCCGCAATCTTCGAGGGAATACATGTCAAACTGACTTCAGGGGAATACATGTCAAATTGACTTCAGGGGAATACATGTCAAACTGACTTCAGGGGAATACATGTCAAATTGACTTCAGGGGAATACATGTCCAATTGACTTCAGGGGAATACATGTCAAACTGACTTCAGGGGAATACATGTATCAAATTGACTTCAGGGGAATACATGTCAAACTGACTTCACATGTCAAACTGGGGAATACATGTCAAACTGACTTCAGGGGAATACATGTCAAACTGACTTCAGGGGGTCAAAATACATGTCAAACTGGGGAATACACAATTGACTTCAGGGTACATGTCAAACTGACTTCAGGGGAATACATGTCAAACTGACTTCAGGGGAATACATGTCAAACTGACTTCAGGGGTCAAACTGACTTCAGGGGAATACATGTCCAATTGACTTCAGGGGAATACATGTCCAATTGACTTCAGGGGAATACATGTCCAATTGACTTCAGGGGAATACATGTCAAGCAGAAACGATGTCAGTATTTCAACACTGATAATTGCATACTTGATTTACGTAAGTGGGCCAATTGATATCCAATAAATATCGCATACCTGATTTACGTCAGCAATTGATTTGCATGTGCCTTTGCATGTGTTTGTGACGGGTGCCACCGGTAGGGAAGCTCAGCTTTCAGCGAACACCTTGTATCAAGATTATAACATAGTAATTCAGAAACACATGCTCACGTCAGAGTTGGAACCATGTGACTGACTCTAAAAATACAAAGATTTGTAATGATTAAAAAATGGATTTTGCCATGTATATTTAGTATGTCTCACAAAATGATAGAGTGAGAGAGTATGGTTTCACGCCGCTTTAAGCAATATTCCAGCAATATCACGGCGGGGGACACCAGATATGGGCTTCACACATTGCGCCCATGTGGGGAATTAAGGCGGGCCTTCGAACCCGAGTGAACGCTTTAACCACTAGGCTACCCCACCGCCCCACAAAATGATAGAAATATTTTAGTTGTATAAAGTTTTTTATATTGTATGAGTTGTTTTCGAATACAATACAGGTTAAAAGTAATCCATTTATGCTAAACGTGACGTCTATGAGTGTATGGAAAGCTGTACGAGATAACAAATTTCCGTCACCAGCAATATACCTGGTTACGAAGGGTCATGGTCACACCAGACCAATCCAGACCAGATATATTACTGATAAGAATCTGCTGCTAACTTCACAGGCTCGAAGATACATAAATCCTCTCTCGTCAGGTGGATCCCGCTATGATTTAGAGATCACGATGCTGAGGGTGACGCTTCTGCTGCTGGCGGTGACTGCCGCCCTGGCCCGTATGAATGTGTTGTTTTTAGTGTCAGATGACATGAGGCCGGAACTCTCAATTTTTGGTGGAAAAGACTTCCCCAGTCCTGTTCATCCTCCGATACATTCACCCAACCTTGACGCCCTCGCTCGGAAAAGTCTTCTGTTAAAGAGAGCCCATGTTCAGCAGGCTGTGTGTTCCCCGAGCAGATCATCTCTCCTCACAGGACGAAGACCGGACACTACCCATGTGTATGATCTACAAGCTTACTGGAGAGATGTGGGAGGTAACTTCACCACCATCCCTCAGTATTTCAAGGAACACGGCTACAGGACGATAGGATCGGGTAAGATTTTCCATCCAGGACATGCTTCTAACTACAACGACCCGATCTCCTGGACAGACCCGTATTTTGAAGTCGGAGGTGAAGCCAACAATTTTGTATACAAGGAGCATGTTTCCTGGTTGAATGTGCCGATGGATGTTCTTAAGAACAACTCCCTTCAAGACACCCAGAATGCAGATTATGCCATTAAAATGATTAGAGAAGCAGCACCAGAGGCTAGATCTGGAGAGCGTCCTTTCTTTATCGGTCAAGGATTCCACAAACCTCATCTTCCCTTTGTGGCACCACAGATGTTTTTTGACTTGTACCCCGAGTCCTCAATAAGTCTTCCACCGAACCCCTACGCTCCTGATAGGATGCCGGAAATTGCATGGTCTAATTATTATACTACAGAGCTCGGAGCTTACGAAGACATTGAGAAATTACACGTTACAGGAGACATCAACACCACTCTCCCAAACGATGTCATCCTCAACTTGAGGAGAGCCTACTACAGCGCTCTCAGCTACACGGACTACGAACTGGGACGAGTTATCCAGGAGCTGGAGAATCAAGGCCTGGCCAACAACACAATTATCTCCTTCTGGGGAGATCACGGTTGGCAACTGGGGAACACGGTGAGTGGTGCAAACACACGGACTTTGACATCGCCACCCACGCCCCGATGATGGTACATGTGCCGGGTCTCACTGACAAGGGCATTGTGACTGAAGAACTCACCGAGTTTGTGGATCTGTTTCCTACTCTGGTAGAAGCTGCAGGTCTACCTCCTATAAATCTGTGTCCAGAAAACTCCACTAACGTTCTAGTCTGCACTGAAGGCACTAGTTTGATACCTCTGATAACAAACCCAGCAAGTCCCAACTGGAAGAAGGCTGTGTTCTCCCAGTATCCGAGGAATGAATACAACGGAAATCAAACGGGCTACAGCATGACCACCGATCATTACAGATACACAGAGTGGGTCAAATTCAACATACAACCTGTGTACAAGCCGGACTGGACAGAAGTGTTTGGTGTGGAGCTGTACGACCATTATGGCGATCCTGAGGAAAACAAGAATCTGGCTTATGATTCCGCCTACAGTGCTCTGGTGGCTCAATTCAGCAAACAACTACATGCTGGTTGGAGGGCAGCTTTACCCAAATAGGAGGAAAATATAGGGATGTTTCAATCAGAGTACCTGGTGTGTTAATTGTTTGATTTTGTTGATACACTGCACTAGACAACATTAAAACTATAGAGACAATCTAGTTTTAGAATATTTTCATATACACATGTCTGTATGTGCAGATTGTGTGAAGTGCAGAATATGCTTACCATTATATTATATTATCTAATTTCAGCCTCCTACGTCCAGTGGAATCTGTTTCAGGGCTGCGTATGCTCTGACGCTGACATGTACTACATAATACATGTAAATATCTTGTGTGGCAAAGTCTGAGTGAAATGAAGTTTAGATTGCTGTGTATCACTGTAAATGGAAAGGAGGTGTATGAGCAGGAATTCAATGAGCAGAGTTACATCCCTTCGCTTGCACAGGATCCACAGTTACTCAGCACCCGTCCACCAGGCGCCTCTGAATCTGTTATTATAATTTCGATTATCTAGTTCTCTCTGATTATGTCTCACGGTCTGTAAGCACCAACTATGTGCTCGTTGGTTTCAAAGACAGTGGAGTGAGTGAGTATGGTTTTACGCCGCTTTTAGCAATATTCCAGCAATATCACGGCGGAGGACACCAGAAATGGGCTTCACACATTGTGCCCATGTGGGGAATCGAACCCGGGTCTTCAGCGTGACGAGCGGACGCTTTAACCATTAGGCTACCCCACCGCCCCCCTCAAGACAGTGGAAACGTCTGAGATAATTGTATCATGTTGTGCATACCAGTCACCTGTCGTGCACTGGATAGTGTTATTGATATAATATGTTGAAACAAAACTATTCTGTGATATTTAATAATTAAATGAGTGGTGTGTACTTATGTCGGTCTGACAGCGCTAACCCACTGGGATACGTCAGTGTTATCCAACCAGTCACATACAATGGAATCCGAGTAAGCCTTGCTTGGGGGGCTTCACACATTGTACCCATGTTAGGAATCGAACCCAGGCCTTCGGCGTAACAAGCAAACGCTTTCTCCACTAGGCTACCCCACTGCCCCGAGTCAGGAAGAATTACAGCAGGTATAATTTTTTGTCATTGTTTGGTTTAACACAATCGAACCGGTGAGTGAGTGAGTGAGTGAGTGAGTGAGTGAGTTCGTGAGTGAGAGCATTAACCAAAAGTTATTATGTTTTTTTCACTCTTAATCGTGATGTAAAAAGTAGATTATACGACATATGCACTAGGGTTGCTATACCATAACTGTCCTGGACTTTGATATAACAACGGTTACTTGAGGACCCCTGAAGAGTGTTTTTATTAAATTTAATAGTTTTTTGGAAAATTTCTTGAAACGATTTATTTGTGCTTTTTATGACGTTTTTCACTTATTTGAATCCAAAACTATAGTATATATACATGGTGGTGTAAAATAAACACAACATACAATAGGTGCAAAAATAATTTAGTCTGCTCATTTACATATTTGTCTAAATGAAAGAACGTATGCAATGAAAACTGGATTTTATCACAACGTTACTCCGTTTGGACAGTGTATACTTAATGGTAAAAACAGAAGTATGATACTCGTATCGAAACAGAATATCGTGGTATAAATGTTCTTTTCATATTTAACCATCATCAAACACGCATGTTTACATTCTTTTGTTGGGCAGTTGACACAGAATGGCATTTCGTCATTTCAGAAAAAGGCGTAAGCCTTCGTAAAATGATTAAACTGAATCAAATATGGGCCTGTTGTACATCTACAATTATTTAAAATGTTAATTGTCCCTTGGTCTGGCAGCCCTCCATCCAGCGTGTAGTTGTTTCCGTAGTTCAGATACAAGTTTCTTTTCAGCAGTGTTATAGGCCAAGTTAAAGTTTTCCTCGGGGTCCTTAATATGGTCGTACAACTCAATACCATAAACTTTGTTCCAGTCCGGTTTATAGAGAGGCTTTGAGTCGAACTTTACCCACTCTGTGTATCTGTATGTATTGGTAGTCATGCTGTAGCCCATCTGGTCACCACCGTCTTCAGATCTTGGGTACTGAGAGAACACAGCCTTCTTCCAGTTGGGACTTGCTGGGTTGGTTATCAGAGGTATCAAACTAGTGCCTTCAGTGCAGACTAGAACGTTAGTAGAGTTTTCTGGACAGAGATCAATAGGAGGTAGACCTGCAGCTTCTACCAGAGTAGGAAACAGATCCACAAACTCGGTGAGTTCTTCAGTCACAATGCCCTTGTCTGTGAGACCCGGCACATGTACCATCATCGGGGCGTGGGTGGCGAGCTCAAAGTCCGTGTGCTTGCACCACTCACCGTGTTCCCCCAGTTGCCAACCGTGATCTCCCCAGAAGGAGATAATTGTGTTGTTGGCCAGTCCTTGATTCTCCAGCTCCTGCACAACTCGTCCCAGTTCGTAGTCCGTGTAGCTTAGACCGCTGTAGTAGGCTCTCCTCAAGTTGAGGATAACATCGTTTGGGAGTGTGGTGTTGATGTCTCCTGTAACGTTAAGTTTGTGAATGTCAACGTACTTTCTAAGCTCTCCATAGCTAGACCATGCGATTTCCGGCATTTTATCAGGAGCGTAGGGGTTGGCTGGGAGACTGATGGAGGACTCGGGGTACATGTCAAAGAACATCTGTGGTGCCACAAAGGGAAGATGAGGCTTATGGAATCCTTGGGCGATGAAGAAAGGACGTTCTCCAGATCTAGCTTGAGGGGCCGCTTGTCTGATCATGTCAATGACATAGTCTGCATTCTGGGTGTCTTGAAGTGAGTTGTTCTTTAGAAGATCCATCGGCACATTCATCCAACTCACCTTTTCTTTATACACAAAGTTATTGGCATCCGACCCTGACTCAAAATATGGGTCTGTCCAGGAGATCGGGTCGTTGTTATCGGATGCATGTCCTGGATGGAATATCTTACCCGATCCTATCGTCCTGTAGCCATGTTCCTTGAAATACTGAGGGATGGTGGTGAAGTTCCCCTCCCACATCTCTCCAATACACCACAAGATCATACACATGGGTGGTGTCCGGTCTTCGTCCAGTGAGGAGAGATGATCTGCTCGGGGAACACACAGCCTGCTGAACATGGGCTCTCTTCAACAGAAGACTCTTCCGAGCGAGGGCATCAAGGTTTGGTGAATGCATCGGAGGATGGACAGGACTGGGGAAATCTTTTCCTTCAAAAATGGATAGCTCCGGCCTCATGTCATCTGACACCAAAAACAACACATTCATACGAGCCCGGGCGGTAGTGACCGCCAGCAGCAGAATAGTCGCCCTCAGCATGATGATCTTTAAGTCATAGCAGGTTCCACCTGACGAGTGAGGATTTATGTATTTTCGAGCCTGTGAAGTTAGCAGCAGATTCTTATCAGTTCTGATATGGATATGTTTGAATATACCTGTGGCATGGCCTTGACCAATCGTGATCATGTGTATTGCTGACAACGGGAAACTATTATCTCGTCGAGCGTTTCTTACACACACGTTAACTAGGTCATCCTCAACTTATATAATATCCAAAATGAACTTATGTAATATCTAAAATCATTTTTTTAGACACACTAAATATACCTCGCAAATTCCATTTTAGAGTCATAAGACTTGTTTTGCATTTGCAGAGTCAATTATACGGTTTCAATTATATTATGACCATGTGTTTTTGAATTACTTTGAAATAGTGTTGATACAAGGTGGTCACTAAAAGGTGAACATATGCTTCACGACCCACAAACACATACAAAGGATAGTAAAACGGAATATCGATTTTCATCGGATATCACTTTTGTCAGTCACGCATGATTTTTTGGACAAACTGACCTATGAACGCAGTATAAACATGGAAAAATACACAATATACAATACACAATGATAATACAATACAGTATAAACACGAGTCATACATAGACCTAGGTATGAAATAAAGAATATACCGGTTTTGGATGATTATTTAACAAAAAACAACGTAACGCAACATATGTAACTTGTACGTCACAGTTAAAACACTTTAAAAATACCTTTGCTGTTTTTAATTCTAAAGCCAAAACACAACGGTTGGTACAGTATAATTGTAAAAGACCAAATGAAAGATATGTTTATGAATAGTTTTCAAATATACAGTCACCTAAAACAAGGAGTGAGTGAGTGAGTGAAGAGAAAGGAGAACAGAGTCAATGACACCACGTAATTGTGACTATCAGATTTTCATTCTATCGCTCTTACAACATACATAGGTAAACAGGCCTTATCTGTCATGGAATTTCCCGCGAGACGATACCTTTATGTGACCTTGTCATAAAGTGGGTTAATAGCATGTGTGTATTTTCATCAGATATTACCCAACTTGAAAATCCTGGTGCCTCGTGCGTATCTAATGTAATCGTTTTTGTTTTACGCCGCACTCAGCAATGTTCTAGCCATATGGCGACGGTCTGTAAAATTGGACCGGGCAATTCAGTGATCAACAGCATGAGCATTGATCTACGCAACTGGGATACGATGACATGTGTCAAGTCAGCGAACCTGACCACCCGATCCCGTTAGTCGCCTCTTACGACAAGAAAGGGTTACTGAAGACCAATTCTAACCCGGATCTAACTACTAACGGGATCGGGTGGTTAGGTTCGCTGACTTGACACATGTCATGCGTAGTTCTATGCTCATGATGCTGATCACTAGATTGTGTGGTCCAGACTCGATTATATACGGGCCACCGCCATAGCTTTGAAAAACAAAGCCATGCCATCTCAACCCCACGTTGCTGATAATGTCAACCACTGGTTTGGCGAACCCAGACTTCATTATCAACAGGATGTCCTCAAACAGAATGAATATTGTTGACTGCAACACAAGAAACAAAATATACCGAGGGAAACAAATAAGTGAACACCACTTCATGGCAGTGTTCCTTTATTTATTCTCAGATTTCCTCCCACAGCACTATTCAAAGCTGGTGATGAAAACTGTAAAATATTAAAGGAACGCTTGTGTTACGACGTAAATTGTAATAAAAACGCAAATTGTAATACTTGCAGCAATTGTAATAAACTTGACGTAAATTGTAATAAAAACGTAAATTTGCGTTTTTATTACAATTTACGTGGTAACAGCTTGAATTTTCCTGTGATCCTTTAATCGTTTCTCTCAGTAAATATCACCTTGGCCCACTTACGTCAAACAAGTTCACAGTTATCAGTGTTGAAACATCTGACACCTTTACTGCTAGATATTACCTTGTCGCATTTGACAAAAGTTCAAGACATGTATTCCCGTGAAGATAACGGTAACGATCGGAGTACAAGTACAGAGTTACTAAAATAATTGATTGAGTTTAGTTTTACGTCGCTTTAGCAATATTTCAGCAATATCACGGTGGGGACACCAGAAATGGGCTTCACACATTGTACCCACGTGGGGATTCGAACCTATTCGGCGTGACGAGAGAACGCTTTAACCACTAGGCTACCCCACCGCCCCGAGTCAGGAAGAATTACAGCAGGTCTAATATTTTGTCATTGTTTGGTTTTACACAATCGAACCGGTGAGTTCGTGAGTGAGTTCGTGAGTGAGTGAGATAGTGAGTTCGTGAGTGAGTGCATTAACCAAAAGTTATAATGTTTTTTTCACTCTTAATCGTGATGTAAACAATAGATTATACGACATATGCACTAGGGTTGCTATACCATAACTGTCCTGGACTTTGATATGACAACTGTTACCTGAGGACCCCTGAAGAATGTTTTTATTAAATTTAATAGTTTTTGGAAAATTAAGTGAACACATTATTTCTTGATACGATTTCTTTTTTTTATTGCTTTTTATCACGTTCTTCGCTGATGTGAATCCAAAACTATAGTATATATACATGGTGGCGTGAAAATAAACACAACATGAAAAGGATGCAAAAATAATTTAGTCTGCTCTTTCACTTATTTGTCTAAATGAAAGAACGTATGCAATGAAAACTGGATTTAATCACAACGTTACTCCGTTTGGACAGTGTATACTTAATGGTAAAAACAGAAGTATGATACTCGTATCGAAACAGAATATCGTGGTATAAATGTTCTTTTCATATTTAACCATCATCAAACACGCATGTTTACATTCTTTTGTTGGGCAGTTGACACAGAATGGCATTTCGTCATTTCAGAAAAAGGCGTAAGCCTTCGTAAAATGATTAAACTGAATCAAATATGGGCCTGTTGTAAATCTACAATTATTTAAAATGTTAATTGTCCCTTGGTCTGGCAGCCCTCCATCCAGCGTGTAGTTGTTTCCGTAGTTCAGATACAAGTTTCTTTTCAGCAGTGTTATAGGCCAAGTTAAAGTTTTCCTCGGGGTCCTTAATATGGTCGTACAACTCAATACCATAAACTTTGTTCCAGTCCGGTTTATAGAGAGGTTTCCTGTCAAACTTCACCCATTCTGTGTATCTGTATTTATCCGTAGTCATGCTGTAGCCCATCTGGTGACCTCCGTCTTCAGATCTTGGGTACTGAGAGAACACAGCCTTCTTCCAGTTGGGACTTGCTGGATCTTTCATCAGAGGTATCAAACTGTTGCCTTCAGTGCAGACTAGAACGTTGGTGGAGTTTTCTGGACACAGATTAATAGGAGGTAGACCTGCAGCTTCTACCAGAGTAGGAAACAGATCCACAAACTCGGTGAGTTCTTCAGTCACAATGCCCTTGTCTGTGAGACCCGGAACATGCACCATCATAGGGGCGTGGGTGGCGATGTCAAAGTCCGTGTGTTTGCACCACTCACCGTGTTCCCCCAGTTGCCAACCGTGATCTCCCCAGAAGGAGATGATTGTGTTGTTGGCCAGGCCTTGATTCTCCAGCTCTTGGACAACACGTCCCAGCTCGTAGTCTGTGTAACTGAGGGCGCTGTAGTAGGCTCTCCTCAAGTTGAGGATGACATCGTTTGGGAGTGTGGTGTTGATGTCTCCTGTACCGTTAAGTTTCCGAATATCAACGTAGTTTCTAAGCTCTCCATAGCTAGACCATGCGATTTCCGGCATCTTGTCTGGAGCATATGGGTTAGCTGGGAGACTGACGGAGGACTCTGGGTACAAGTCAAAGAACATCTGTGGTGCCACAAAAGGAAGATGAGGTTTGTGGAATCCTTGGGCGATGAAGAAAGGACGTTCTCCAGATCTAGCTTGAGGGGCCGCTTCTCTGATCATGTTAATGGCATGATCAGCATTCTGGGTGTCTTGAAGTGAGTTGTTCTTCAGAAGATCCATCGGCACATTCATCCAACTCACCTTTTCTTTATACACAAAGGTATTGGCTTGCGACCCTGACTCAAAATATGGATCTGTCCAGGAGATCGGGTCGTTGTTATCGGATGCATGTCCAGGGTGGAAAATCTTACCCGATCCTATCGTCCTGTAGCCATGTTCCTTGAAATACTGAGGGATGGTGGTGAAGTTCCCTCCCACATCTCTCCAATACACTACCAGATCATACACATGGGTTGTGTCCGGTCTTCGTCCTGTGAGGAGAGATGATCTGCTCGGGGAACACACAGCCTGCTGAACATGGGCTCTCTTCAACAGAAGACTCTTCCGAGCGAGGGCATCAAGGTTTGGTGAATGCATCGGAGGATGGACAGGACTGGGGAAATCTTTTCCTTCAAAAATGGATAGCTCCGGCCTCATGTCATCTGACACCAAAAACAACACATTCATACGAGCCCGGGCGGCAGTCACCGCCAGCAGCAGAAGCGTCACTTTCAGCATGATGATCTTTAGGTATTGCAGGTTCTACCTGACGAGAGAGGATTTATGTATCTTCGAGCCTGTGAAGTTAGCAGCAGATTCTTATCAGTTCTGATCTGAATATTTTAGAATATATGTGTGGCATGGCCTTGACCCATCGTGATCAGGTCTATTGCTGACAACGTGAAACTATTATCTCGTCGATCGTTTCCTACACGCATAGACGTCACGTTTATACAAACTGGGGTAACTTTAACTTATATAATATCTAAAATAATTTCCTTTTTTAGACACACTAAATATACCTGTCAAACTCCATTTTAGAATCATGAGACTTATTTTTGCATTTTCAGAGTCAACTATACGGTTTGAACTATATCATCAGCATGTGGTTTTTTTATATAGTGTTGATACAAGGTGTTAGCTAAAAGGTGAGCATATCCTTTCCTACCGTTTTCGCGGGTCACAAACACATTCAAAGGTTAGTAAAAAGGAATATCGATTTTCATCGGATTTCAATTTGGTAATTGAATCACTCATGAAATTCGAATAAACTGACCTATGGAACAGTATTGACATGACCTAGGTATGAAAGAAAGAATATACCTGTTTTGGAGGATTATTTATCAAAAACAACGTAACACAATGTATGTAAATTGTACGTCAAGTCAAAACACTTTTCAAAATATTAATCCCCAAACCACATGTGTATAGTTTCTTTTCTACGTCAGTTTATAATATCTAGATTGGGAATGCAGAGCTCGTAAATTTGAGTGAGTGGGTGAGTTTAGTTTTACGCCGCACTCAGCAATATTCCAGCTATATGGCGGCGGTCTGTAAATAATCGAGTCTGGACCATACAATCCAGTGATCAACAGCATGAGCATCGATCTGCGCAACTGGGAACCGATGACATGTGTCACCCAAGTCAGCGAGCCTGACCACCCGAACAACAACAACAACAACAACAAAGCCATGTCATCTCAACCCCACGTTGCTGATAATATCAACCACTGGTTTGGCGGATCCAGGCTTCATTATCAACAGGATGTCCTCAAACAGAATAAATATTGTTGACTGCAACGCAAAAAACAAAATATACCGAGGGAAACAAATAAGGGATCACCTCTTCATGGCAGTGATCCTTAATTTAGGGCCTGTTCGATTATTGCGAAAGTGGTTTTGGTTTCTGAAACTGGTTTCTCCTGTTATAAACGAGTATTCTCAGATTTCTACCCCCAGCGCTTTTCAAAACTGGTGATGAAAACTGGAAAATATAAAGGAACACTTGAATTTTCCTGTGATCCTTTAATTGTTTCTCTCAGTATACATCACCTTGGCCCATTTACGTCAAGTTTACAGTTATCAAAGTTGACACATTTGACACCTTTTCTGCCAGATGTTACCGTTGACAAAAGTTCAAGGCATGTATTCCCGTGAAGATAACGGTAACGATCGCTTACGAGTACAAGTTTGCTTGAAAGGGCTGACTAAAATGAGGATGTGTTGGTCAGTAGTGTATGCCTTGGTGTAGGATGTAAATATAGGTAATTAATATCGCAGTGAGAGGCGAGATGGGCTGGTTATAACCGTTAACTTTACAACGTGTAGAAGTCGTTCGGTTACGGAAAAGGCTATCTCATATTGACCCGGATAGGCTTGTGAGTACCGTTACAGACTGGTCAACTGGGTTCCGTAAATCGGTCGAATACCATTCTGTCTTGGTTGCAGTCCCTCCAACTCCATATGGGGCGGTGGTGTAGCCTAGTGGTTAAAGCGTTGGCTCGTCACGCCGAAGACCCGGGTTCGATTCCCCACATGGGCACAATGTGTGAAGTCCATTTCTGGTGTCCCCCGCCGTTATATTGCTGGAATATTGCTAAAAGCGGCGTAAAACTAAACTCAGTCAGTCATTCAGTCCTACTCCATATAAAAGACATTACAAAATTAACATCACAGGATTTTATACTGCTTAGGACCGAGTAAATAGACTAGACACTGCGTGAGAGCAAACACTTTAAGAACTGCGCTACCTTACCGCCCGCTATCGGTCCGAGAATATCGGCATAAAGTAGAACCTCGCTTATCCAGACACTCTCGTTTTGTCACTTAGTGCTTTTTTCGCCCTCCCCGCCTAAACTCGTAACTCTGTTGTAGAATGCTGAAGCCTACTTAAAGAGTATTTTGCGAAGTCAAATTCTACATCGTATCCCCTCAGCGAATAATGAACGAACATGTGATAGAAACTTGCGGTTAATAAAAGAAGAAAACTTTGGCGATAACACAGCACTGGACACAGTGATTTACGTGTGAAGTCCATTTCTGGTGTCCCCCCGCCGTGATATTGCTGGAATATTGCTAAAAGCGGCGTAAAACTAAACTCAGTCAGTCATTCAGTCCTACTCCATATAAAAGACATTACAAAATTAACATCACAGGATTTTATACTGCTTAGGACCGAGTAAATAGACTAGACACTGCGTGAGAGCAAACACTTTAAGAACTGCGCTACCTTACCGCCCGCTATCGGTCCGAGAATATCGGCATAAAGTAGAACCTCGCTTATCCAGACACTCTCGTTTTGTCACTTAGTGCTTTTTCTCCCCCCGCCTAAACTCGTAACTCTGTTGTAGAATGCTGAAGCCTACTTAAAGAGTATTTTGCGAAGTCAAATTCTACATCGTATCCCCTCAGCGAATAATGAACGAACATGTGATAGAAACTTGCGGTTAATAAAAGAAGAAAACTTTGGCGATAACACAGCACTGGACACAGTGATTTACTCATTGAATTGTTTACATCTACGCACAAAGATTAAAATTACTGTGTGTATTTACCGGAAATTGAAATCAGCTGAGCACACGCTTTCTTCCTGTGGACAGATGATTCAGTTTGAAAGTATTCGTTGATATATATTAATTTCATGAAAATTCTATGCAATGGTCAGATAAGCTGGGATGTGATGTATATTTACAAATACAACGATATTGTATTGATGACTGACTGACTGAGTTTGGTTTTACGCCGCTTTTAGCAATATTCCAGCAACATCAAGGCGGGGGACACCAGAAATGGGCTTCACTCTATTGATGAACGAGGGTTACAATGGTATCTGTAAATTTACAGATTTTTTGTACTGATGGCTTAAGAGAGCTACATTAAGGCTATAAATTAACTGCTTAGGTATGTAAAATTTGCGTTATTTATTTATATACGGACATCTGAAAATGTGGAGGTAATTTCTAAATTTGACGCATCAGTGACAAAAATGATGTCCGATGCAATTCACTATTCTATGGAATCCGAGAAGGGACATTGTCGCGTTGTCGCATTGTCGCCCTCTCAAAAACAAGTAAAGTGAGGCAAAATGAACCAAAACGCGACACGCGACATCGCGACATTTCACCCATTTGTCGAATTTGTCGCTATGTCGCTTGTCGCGTTTTGGTTCATTTTGCTTCATTTTGCTTGTATTTGAGAGGGCGACAACGCGACAATGTCCCTTCCAGGATTCCATACTATTCTTATTTCTACTATACGTTCCTGAATTCAGGTGAACAATATACTACCTCAGCATATGTTTATAACGGGTGCCACCCATGGTGCAGGATTTCGCGAACACCTGGTACTATCACTATTTGAGAGTGATTCATGAACATCTGTTTACGATATTGTCTGATTTTGTCACTTTTTTCAACATCTTCATAAGTTCACATCCAAACAGAACTGGTGCAGGTTGGCAAATAATAACAGATTGTGTGTGTGCACATCGGGGTGTAAGAGTATGTACGTGCAATCTATCATGGCATAAATCGTTACAATTACAATGACATGCACTGATCATGCCATCGAGTCTGACCACTCGATGGCGTCACTCGCCACTTCAGACAAGTTGTAACCCAGCACTTCACAGGAGTAAGATCAGTATAAACAGACCACTTGAGTTTCCCGATTCCGGAGTGTCCATATAACCAAGGTACTTCTGTAGTATGATGGCAAATCATGACATTCGCGCCCAACCACGCACAATGCATTATTTTTTCAAATGTAAACTGATTCAACTTTCTAATCTTATAAAAAAAATGAGTAAACATTAAAATTGACTCAATATTTCGAGCTCTATGGTTCATCCCTTACACCCCTAGTTAAGCAAATACGTCCTCAGCAGCGACATTGATCCATTGATACTTCTAAGAGTAACTGCCTCGGCAACTGTGTGCTCAGGCATCAGCCATAATCCACAGAGGAAATGAACGAGAGAACAATCCTCTTGATTCATTTCATGGAGTTGTGAGATTCATGAGGGACTTCGTGTCAAAACAGTTATCCGACTTAGGGGAAAGGGCACTTGCTTCCTTTCACGCAGCCCAGGGCACAGGCCCAACCTCCCGGGAATCAAAGTCTCAAACGACACTTACGATAATCAAGTGTAGCCAGTCAGGATGTGTTCCAGATCGTGCTGCCTACCCTACTGTGGACATGTAACCACTGGGGTGATGTATAGGGATGGGGGGAGATAAAGATTACCACTGCGGATCAGTGGATCATCTTCACCAATAGGCCATTTATGAAGTGTACGAAATAGTTTCCCAATTTTGCTAGCCAGTCGGGCTAGCTATGCCTGAAAGTTGCAAGCCCACAAACTAATTCACTAGCCCGAAATTTGAATGTAGATACTAAGCAAAAGATTACCAAAATAGATGAGAATAAGATGTTGTCGACATGACACGGGTTCACCATTAAGCTGCTAATATGACGAACATTTTTATCAGGTCATAATCTTGCATGATATAAAAGTGTATTATAACTTAACTAGTCGGAGAGAGTCATATATTTACAAAATGACCCCGTGAAAATCCCGTAGCCAGTCCGGCCAGTGACTGTGGAGATTTATTGGTCCGTTTGGGATTTTTACTAGCCACGGGCTAGCGGGCCAGTGGCTATTTCGCACACTGCATATATGCTAACTGTAGGTTTAGAACGACTCGGTGGGGTAGCCTGGTGGTTAAAGCGTTCGCTCGTCACGCCGGAGACCCGATTCGATTCCCCACGTAGGTACAATGTGTGAAGTCCATTTCTGGTGTATCCCTCAGTCATTGTGTTGGAATATTGCTAAAAGCGACGTAAAACTCGCCCACTCATGAGGACGATTTGTAGGTCTTAAAAGAATTCATAGGTCTGCCTTACGTTTGATGTCGTTTTGTATTTCTCTTGTCAGTATTGGTTTAACGCTGAGAAGCCGCATGATCTAAATTATATTAGCATCGTGGAAATAGTTACCAATTTTCCTGTATCAATGTATAGCAGTATCATGTAAAATGTGATGGTTGAAAAAAACTACGTGAAAATGTAAACTTACCGCTGCTGCGTATCCTTAAAGATACGTTGTTTGAGGTCTGTATTTCTACAATTAGCACAGCCGGTTTGGCCAACAAGTATCAACACCACACTTTTCGCTATTGTTTCATTGTTTGTTGGAAGAGTGAGTGAGTGAGTGAGTTCACTTTTACGTCGCTTTTAGCAATATTCGAGCAGTATCACGACGGGGGACACCAGACATAGGCTTCACACATTGTACCCATGTGGGGAATCGAACCCGGGTCTTCGGCGTGATAAGCGAACGCTTTAACCACTAGGCTACCCCATCGACCCTGTTGTTTGGAAGAGACCTGTACGTATACACATGGGAAAAAGTATCGCAACATCCCTTATTTTTCATAGTATCAGTCTGTTACCATTAACCATGGCAGAGGAACTTATTAAAACTTCAATTCTGCTTACTACCTGGGTATCGTTACAATCATTAACTAATTAAATGGCAAATGTAAAAGCAAACACAAGTAAAATTGCAGTTTATTCAGAAAAGTAAATATGGCAAAATTGACTCATTTTGTACGGTCCTATGACGCTAAGTACGTTTATTTTCACGTTTCTAGCAAACAATCCTCAAGAAATCACACAAGTCTCAACAAGCGGGCTGAATGTCCGTCTTTAGTGAAGCCTCTGCCAACTGCAATAACATCCCCGATCCTCTTTCTCGTTGGACCCCTGAAGATCCGGGGTAGAATAAGTCTTCAGCAACCCATGCTTGCCACAAAAGGCGACTATGCTTGTCGTAAGAGGCGACTAACAGGATCGGGTGGTCAGGCTCGCTGACTTGTTTGTCATCGGTTCCCAAGTGTGCAGATCGATGCTCATGCTGTCGGTCACTGGATTGTCTTGTCCAGACTCGATTATTTACAGGCCTCCGCCATACAGCTGGAATATTGCTGAGTGCGGCGTAAAACTATACTCACTCACTCACTCTTCCTCGTTGACTGTATCAGATGAGGCGTTGCGTTCGATTCTAAATGGAGGGTTTGATCCAATACATCAAGATTTTGTACTGGAGGATATCTCTAGCGTATTCTGCGATCCATGGTGTCCCAAAAATGCCCTAAAGGATTGAGATCTAGTCTAAATATCAGTTGGGGTAAGGTAGAGTAAGTAAGAAATCACCAAGGCCACTACCTAGCATTGTCGTTCATGAAGACTGGCCTTGTGTTCAGGATGGTCATCGAAATGTGGTACAACACTCATGTCTAGGATGACAATGCTGTACCGTCGTCCTTTAAAATTTTGTCTGATCGTTACAAGGTCATGTTTACAGTAATGTGAGTCCCTTCCCCAAACCACCATCAATGACCCTTCCACCCCCACCCAACCGTTGTTCATTCCGTTGTTCATATGCAGTCTTTCTGTGGCGCCAAATTCCAGCTCGGTCATCAGTCATGAATAATAAAAATCGGTCTCCGTCCGATCAGTGGACCCTTCCCCATGATATCCAATTCCAGGGACGTCGAGTATGACACTAAATTAGTTGATCACTGGATTGTCTAGTTCAGAGACGATTATTTACAGAACGCCACCATGTAGCTGGAGTTTTGCCGAGTGCGGCGTTAAACAACAAACCAACCAACCAACACTAAGTCAGTTATGCTGCTATGTGTTTAGGAGATAACAACGGACGCATCTGACAGGTCATCTAGTTCTATGCCTGGTCGATTTCAGGCGATTTCTGTTGAACAAACAATGATGTGGAAGACACTCTGGTTTAAACATGCTATTTGACATGAACGGATGAAGTCTTGTGATTCTGAGAAGGGCCTTATCCTCTCAAGGATTTGTCACTCGTGGTCGGCCCGAAGTCCTTAACACCATTAGTTTGCTAATGTTTTCTGAGCAGCTTTCAGTTGAAGAGGCCGCCATACTTGCTCATCAACAGCAAAATCGATCGATTGAGTTCCCGAGCAATAAGAACAGTTTACTGAAACTTCATGTTTGCCTTATGACGGATACATGGATTCTCGCCTTTGATAGTAGCACGTGCATGTCTAAAATCAATGGTGAGTTCCAAGGGTAATAGTAATTATGCAAATATACAAAACTGTGATATCAATATAAATGGATATAGAGAGGTTAAACATCATAGCAGTTGCGATATTTTTGCCCATGTGTATAATTTACAAAGCCTTTCTCATCCGGTGTTTTGTCGTTTCAGGGGCGGTGGGGTAGCTTAGTGGTTAAAGCGTTTGCTCGTCACGCCGAAGACCCGGGTTCGAATCCCCACATGGGTACAATGTGTGAAGCCCATTTCTGGTCCTCCCCGCCGTGATGTTGCTGGAATATTGCTAAAAGCGGCGTAAAACCAAACTCAGTCAGTCAGTTTGTCGTTTCGGTCTTTGAAACTGACAGACAACACTAAAGAGCACTTAAACCTTATTAACTGTATGCTTTGCACACGATATTTACGCGTAGGTCATGGCGCTGAATATCAGGGGCTCCTATCACGATGCAACCTTTATTACGGTTAACCTTAACTCTCATTCTTTAACAGTTCACTAAGGTTACCCCAGTGACTTGCGATCACCTTAGTGCTTTGTGAAAATAGGCCCAGGTGAGCGAAACGCCACTGTAACACAACAACTTTCATAAGTGCAAAAAGAAGGTTCAAAGTCATGCAGGTCAATCTCACACAAATTTAATCTGAACACATTAATCTTTGCTGTTTATTTGGTTTGGGCTTATCTTTAACACTGGGTCACCATACTGATCGCCACAACGGAGGAGAACACCTCACCTTGTGGCATGCTACCGTCCGAGAAGCATCGTCAGCTAATCTGGCATGAACAATACATTGCTGGCCCTGGTATTCTTGCACGTTCTCGTATCGTACGACTTGCCTACAGTCTGTGTTGCGACACATTCACAATGAAGCAATATTCGTTGCCCGGATGAAGCCGCAACAAAGGAATGTCTTGAAATACCCCCTGACTACGAATGTATGGTGCTGTTAGAATACAGATAACAGAACAACGACAAGTTAAACTATCACCATGCTCAACAACAGAAACCAAGCAACGTTGTATTTCGAAAGGTATAAGACTCTGAAACTCTGTGAGGTCTGACAGTCTTCAGTAGTCCCCACTTTCACAATGTGGAGTCAGGTTGTGTGTTTGTTTCTGACCGTAGTCTGTGTCTCAGGACAAGCTGATTTAGGTCACAGTTACACTGTTGACAAACAACCTTTGAATGAAACAGCTTTGTTTGTGGCCGACGCTCTGTACAAACACCCCAAACTGTTCCGGAAGTTGTTAAACATCAGCGCTGCAATGCAGCCATTCTTGTCAGAGATCGATGACCCGAAAATATCTGTCATGTTCGATCATTTCCTTGATGTCCTTCCTGCGATGCTGCGGTCAACCTACTTCATCAACGCCGTGCATGTCGTTGCAGATGAGCTGCATGGCGTCAACGTTAGCGACGTGTTCGACTACCTCCAGAACAACCATTTTTCCCCTGACGACCCTGCTGCTAGACAGATGGTGACTGGTGCTGTCTTCGATAGGGTGGACAAGGTGAGGACTCTTCAAAGACTCCTCACTCTCAGTAGCGCCCGTGACATCCTTCCCCCTCACCGCCAACGACAGTGTCACACCACGTTGCTACAGTCACATGATGAACTTCGTCGACGCAGTTGCCGGTGTACAGGTCCCACCAAGAGGGGACATGAACTTCACCTTGGTACCTTGGGCACTGAAAAGTAAGTGCACTGTATTAATGCTAATATTGCTGATACATTGTAATACTGCTACATCCTCACTGTAAACACCGATAAGAAAGTAATTTCGCAGCGAGACCCCCAGGGTTGAGGTGAGGTGAGGTGAAATTGGGTTTTACGTCGTGCTTGAGAATATTTCGCTCATATGACGACGTGCAACTGATTGAGGAAAATGACATACTTACACAATGTTACCTTTGGTCGTGCAAAGTTGAGCTTGGGACTTGAAACCATTGGTTTTGCGAACAACATATGCTATGTTACCTTGGGTCGAGGAAAGTAAGACTTGAGCTGTGATACCTTGAGTTATGAAAAATAGGGCTTATGCCATATAGCCGTCAGTTGTAAAATGTTGGATTTATGCCAGGGTTGTGAAAATGGGACTTGCGCGATATTAACTTGGGATGTGTAATGGCAGGGAGTACATATCCACTGTCGCATCCATATCTAGTGCCCTTTGTTTTTACTCTACACCCCACTGTCGATACTGTCCTACATATATTTATATAAATTGTCATCGTATCCTGACAGCTTAGGGGGTAGTCTGGTGGGCAAAGCGTTCGTTCGTCACGCCGAAGACCCGGGTTCGATTCCTCACATGGGTACAATGTGTGAAGCCCATTTCTGGTGTCCCCTGTCGTGATATTGCTGGAATATTGCTAAAAGCGGCGTAAAACGTAACTCACTCACCCACTGACGGCGTCGTTCGTTGATCATGCTATCAGTCATTGGTTTAGTTGGCCCAGTGAAATACATTTGGGAATTAAACAGTATTATTCTCTCACTTCATTTTCAGTGCTAGACTCCTACGGCAAGCTGCCTAGTGGAATTTACGAGAGAAATCTACACTGGCAGGGTTCACCGGGTGAATGTAGGGGCATACGCGCGCAGATGAGTGCTGGAGTTGTCCTTGGTAATACAACGCTTACCTCCCCTTTTGACTTCAAAGGAAAGTACTGTCGAGCTGAGTTTCACCATCTCTCTTGGGTTGCGAACATCTTACAAATGGTATGTAAACGCTTTGTGTGTAACGTGGAACACCTTCATCTGGACACGTTTTGAACTGTAGAACTATGACATCACTAATCGTTGAGAGGCATTAATACTGTCGTCTAGATTAAGGAGGTTTCGCTTTATGTAGAGTGAGTGAGTTTAGTTTTACGCCGCTTTTAGCAATATTACGGAGGGGGACACCCGCTTTATATAGATGTAGACGTGATATCCAAAGACAATTGATTGTTTATTGAATAACCTGTAGCACATGTGGTGTGTCTTTCAGCAAATGACTTTTTTCAAATTATGCACCTAGCAGTCAATGGGTACCCGGTAGTGTAAGATGGTAATGTCACTGTAACCTTTTCACGCTTCACAGGCACATCTTTGGTCGCACACTTGACCGGAGCCTGATGTTTATTAACTCGTTTAGTACTCGTCGTCGTAGTAGTACTATTGCTTTTGATTTCTCCTAATTTAAGATTTCCGATAGACCGGAACATTCCAACGTTTTTTCCTTGGAACATGTAAAATATTTACAAATTATTGTGTTAAATCAATCCTGACATATTTCTTGCGAACCAATTCTTTATGAACGTTATCATAAGATGAAATAGGATGAAAAACGATTGTGTGTATTTTGACAATCTGGTGAGCTCCAGAACTTGTTGGATGCCTGGTAATATCCATGACGTCATATCAAAACCATATATGAATCAAAGTCTGTGCTGTGGATTAACAGCATCAAACGACGATGATGGATGCACCAGCATCTGTTCCAAGAGGGAGAAATGATTAACACTATGGTTGTAACTCAATGTGTTTATTGAAACACATAAATCTGCTTGTCTAACATTGTTATGTGGCAGAGAAGGTACAAAGTGCTGACTCGACAGATATGATAACCAGCATGCCTCATATGTCATATATCATTGCCACTTCCTGCTCCCGACAGTGCCCTACAACAACAGATACACAATGTTCTATATTGTTCTTTTGGCAGATCAGTAGAGAGGTTGTGTTTATAAAAGTGCCCAAACTCTAACATTTAATGTGTTGACGTTTTAATTTCAAACGTGATACACTTGAAGTTATATATGCTTGTATCAAATGGTTGTTTCAAAACTTTTATTTATTGCATTTGCAAGGCAGAGAGGCGATGAAAAGAGTTTTCAGGACAGGATGTGAGTGAGTGAGTGAGTTTTGTTTTACGCCGCTTTTAGCAATATTCCAGCAATATCACGGCGGGAGACACCAGAAATGTGTTTATCGTTAGAGGTGACATACGCATTCAGGTGGTCAGGTCTGACGACAATGTCAATGCATCATTTCTTTGTAAGATTAGACAGAGTCGAGTCAGTTCACATTTGAAATATTACTGGATTGTGCATGGTTGAACGTGAATGTCATGCTAGTGACATGACGTACTGGTATAAAACATGCTATTCAGAAGAACCCTCAATATATGGACACCCCACAATCAAGTGACATACTTTGCCTTTGTCTAAATTGATTTTCTGCCGTTGTCTTGGTTATGATTCCAAGCGATGTTGTCAGCGAGCATCCTAGGTACCTCTTGGTAAGGGTGCTATAATGGGTGAATAAGGTTTCTGGACGCCACTTTTGGTAAATGTATTTGAAGGGATTATTAATGTAAATGAAACTTGCATTGAAATACATTATATTATAAACCCAGCACGGGGCATCCTCGATAATCTCCAGGGTATACGTTACGATCACTCTCCACTACTATTATCTAATCTCCAGGGTATACGTTACGATCACTTTCCACTACTATTATCTAATCTCCAGGGTATACGTTACGATCACTCTCCACTACTATTATCTAATCTCCAGGGTATACGTTACGATCACTCTCCACTACTATTATCTAATCTCCAGGGTATACGTTACGATCACTCTCCACTACTATTATCTAATCTCCAGGGTATATGTAGGGTATACGTTACGATCACTCTCCACTACTAACGTATACCCTGGAGATTATCGAGGAGCACAGGGTAGCAAGTAAGTTCACTCTGGACTTTTCCGGCCTATTTAGGATTACTTTTGTTGAACACGTCGCCAGCAACCCATGCTTGTCACCTGACCGAATAAGGTGCCAAGGCTGTGAGTTTGCTGTGACCCCAAGTGGGCTAGCCAAGTGGTTAAGGTGTTCGCTCGTCACGCCGAAGACCCGGGTTCGATTCCTCACATGGGCACAATATGTGAAGCCCATTTCAGGTGTCCCCCGCCGTGATATTGCTGCAATATTTCCCAAAACGGCGTAAATCTAAACTCACTCACTCTGTGGTCCCAGGGTGGCGGAGACTGTTCAGAGCCGAGGTTAACAAGCCAGGTCCCAGCCTGACGAGGGCTTTACAATGCCTACCAAGACAGTGTGTCATTCTTTCATCTCTTTTGTGAATTAATTCAATACTGAATTGTGTTGTAACTTCACAAATAAACTATGGAGGTGTGACTCATAGTAAGTCTATGTTTCTATACATCGATGTGCGTTAGGAGGGGAGATATTGGAGCAGAGTATTTCATTCGTTACCATTCGCCCTTTTCCGTGACGAGCACTCGGCCTGTCCCGGAACAACACGAGTTGGTTACGAACGACAGTGCCACTGCTCCAAACGCACGAGGTTTGCACGGACAAATATCGCTGTTGTCACGTGACTGGAAACACATGGGATTTCAAACTGCCTTCCGAAATAAAACAGTCGTGACGTACCACGGAAGACTTTTAGACCCTAACTACCTTTATTGTACGGACGACATGACTGAACAAGAAAGTCCAGACGAAAATGATGTTCACCTGCGTTTTGGGAATTCGCCAAGAACACAGAAGTTGACGGAAGGTTGGAAATTTGTTGTTGGCTTTGTTTGATATGCTCCAAATTTGGGTTGCAGTATTTTTTGTGTTCAAAACCTCCCAAGAATCTAAAACCTCAATAGGGCCCTTTCTGGATCAGAAACAGCCTGTGTTATACTCAAACGTAGGTCTTGCAATGATCAGCACATTTGTCTGTCTCCCGTTCTCGAACCTACTTTACTATAGATTTCGGGGCGGTTGGGTAGCTTTGTGGTTGAAGCGTTCGCTCGTCACGCCGGAATATTGCTAAAAATGCGGCGTAAAACTAAACTCGCTCCCTACTATTGGTTTAATATGTGATAGAAAGTAATGCATTTATAAAATCGTTGATATGCTTCATTTAACAAAATACCAAAGCAGGCAACAGTTGTCTGCTTGTTCATTAGATTTGGCCCCGTCAGATCATCATTGGAGGCATGTTGTCGGATCTAGCCCATCAGTTCAGATTTTAAGTATTGTTAAAGTTATATTTTCATGATGCCACTCCTAGATCAACTGACCTGTTTTCCAGGATGACGCCCTGACGTGGGGCATGTGTGTCCCTGACACGTGTAGCGAGAAGGACGTGGAAGGACTGTTCCAGTTAGGTAGGTACTTCTTCATTGAACCAGTAGATAAAGTCAGTCCAGTCGATCGTTGGACTCCAGGTATCATAACGCCAAGGATTTTTAAAGGGGGATCTTAATGTTTCCCTGCCCAGCGTTTAGCAAATCAGGCAGGGGACATAACTAGAACTGATTGGATAGCAGTCCATGTTATAATACGGAATGGTGGGCTGCCGCACTTTCAACCCGGAAGTAGTCCCAACTAGTATTTGCGTGGGAAAGACTTCCGCCCGTATCCCCTCTTAAATTTCATACTTTTTGTCAAATCATATCATCTGAATTATATTCCTCATCTGATAAGGATGAGTTTTAAAATGTTTCTTTAATTGTATCTGAACATACTGAAGACATATCCCTCTTCTGAAAATGCCACTCAAAGAATTTTTCCCTCACCGTTAAAATTTAGGGGGGATACGGGCGGACGTCTTACCCAATTTTGAGTGACTTTGTGTTTGGTCATTTTCTTCAAGTTCACTGCGATTAATGAATTCTCACATCAAACGTGATGCGTGTTCACGTTCCACACCCCTCAATGCGTTGTTTTGGGCTGACTTGCTAAATTAGCGTAGATCACTGGATTGTTTGGTCCAGAGTGTAAGGAATTTTGTTTATACGGAGTACAGGTGTTTACAGGGATCCACCTAATTGTCATGGACAGGTGTGTATGAGAGAACATTTTGTTTCATAAATGGAATTTTGTCAAAGTTATTTCTTTTATACATTTACACTGCACTCATTGCACTATTTTCAAAGCCTCCTCCTCGGTCCTGATTTTCGGTGGTATACAAGTTACTTCTCCAGCGTCATAACATTAGGTATAAACATATTAATATGAATTGGAATTTAGTGATGTTGGGATGTTGACTGCTGCAGCCTTAGGGCAAATATTGGCCTCTGTGCCGGTCTTGACAAACCTCTGGAGTTCAGTCTTTCAGACTGAGGAACGAGTGTTCACGGTTGACTTGAATGGGGGAGATGGGTATGCAAGGCATTCAGAATATCTAACGCAACACCCACCAAGAACAAGGTCGTCAGCAACCCAAGTTTGCGGTCTTCTTTACGATTGTCGTGCGGCCTTCTTTACGATTGTCGTTTGTCATCGTATTGCAATTGAGTAGATCGAGGCTCATGTCAATCATTGGTTTGTCTGGTCCAGACTCGATTTACAGACTGCCGCCATGTAGCTTGAGTAGAGCCGAGAGCGGCGTTTGACACCCCCAAGAAGCAAGCTGAAACAACACTATATAGACGATGAGGAACGCATCCTATGGTGCTATGCTAGAATGTTTTGACATTTAAAAGCGTAACTTGCGTAAGTAATTGACCCGAAGACACGATGGAATGACCCGGAAGTGATATAGGATTTCGTTCAAATGTGCTTGATCTGTAATTTGACCTAAAGTACTGTCGGAAATATAAATGTGAAAAAGGTTTTCTTCTATCTATGATTTATGTAGTTAAACTAAGTTCGGCCTAACTATAGGGAGATAGGAAACGTAAAACATGGACTTTACTGAGGAGAGATTAGTGCAGAAATGAGCAATGTGGTTTATTTTGTAAGTCCAAAGCGACTTATTTGGAACAGACCATGGCTTTATGCAAATTAGTGTGTGGTATTGTATAACAAAGGACACTTTTTAAATGCCCATTTTGAAATTAGACTTGGCTTAATTATAAACGATAGCCGACGTAAAAAAATGATTTTAATACTGAAACTAAGGATGTAGCTGCAATGGAGTCACACTATCACTTTAAAAAACAAGTAGGAGGGGTCGTCTCAAAAGCAAAACCAGGACGGGTGTCTCAGACGGTTGTTGGGGTCGGGCGGGTTAATAGAGATATCACTGAGATAGAATATAACTTTATGAAAGACACGTTAGGTGTTAAGCAATAGATGAGACATGAACGCAAAACAAAAAGCATAAAATATCTTTGAGATGAGCCCCTTGTGCCTGTAGGCAGCACATGCATTTTATGCCAGGTGAGTCGTCATACCTGGCTGAGCGACCTTGTTGCCATCTATAGTCGGATCTATTGTTTTAAACAGCTATTCGTACTTTTTCTAAGTTTATATCCGATTTCACGAGTAAACATGCTTTTCTGGATATCTTATTAGCATCCCACTGAACGCCCAGTTAGGCCGATGTGGGTTATTGGAACATATTCGAATTCTGTTTGTAATTGTGTAAAGTTTAGGGATACAGTGTAACAGCCTATTTCCGACCGTACTGTAGTGCTTCTGTAGGACAAGTCTTCCTGACCTGTAACATCCTGGTTTGTACAAAACATCATTTTGAAGTGCATTTTGGTTATGTGTAGATTGCGAGACAAAATATGTAACTAATATGTAGATGTTCTTAAATATATTTTATATATTGCAGGTTTTATGAAAAAATTCAAGATAACCCCTGATAATGTCTCCTGTTCAGACAGTCAGAAGCATAATGGTCATGTGCACGTCACATCCGGTACGACCACGTGAGTACATGGCATCCAGGATACCTCCGTGATAAGAGTCGATCATGTCTGAGAAATATTCTTGACCTATTAATATCGGGTTATATAACTGGTGTTCAGGAGGCCGGACCCTGTTCCTCAAAGCGATCGTAGCGCTAAGATGATTGTAACACCCATCCTCCCATTACGACAGTCGTAGCGCTAAGATGATTGTAACACCCATCCTACAACAGTCGTAGCGCTAAGATGATTGTAACACCCATCCTCCAACAGACTTACGACAGTCGTAGCGCTAAGATGATTGTAACACCCATCCTCCAACAGACTTACGACAGTCGTAGCGCTAAGATGATTGTAACACCCATCCTCCAACAGACGTACGACAGTCGTAGCGCTAAGATGATTGTAACACCCATCCTCCAACAGACTTACGACAGTCGTAGCGCTAAGATGATTGTAACACCCATCCTCCAACAGACTTACGACAGTCGTAGCGCTAAGATGATTGTAACACCCATCCTCCAACAGACTTACGACAGTCGTAGCGCTACGATCGCTTAGAGGAGGGGGACCCTGGGCCCACCTGCACAAAGCGATCTTGTAGCGACTATCTAAGATGATTGTAGTTACGACGCCTAAGATCCTTTGTGCCCCAACAAGCTGGTTTGGCACTTGGAACGACAGTCGTAAAGAAACATGTTAAAACATCCTTATAAGACAGAATATATAAAGGACTCACATAAACCCTAGGGGGATCACATAAACCCTAGGGGTAAAAATACATAAATCACTAACTGGCATCGTTATAAATGAAACCCCGTCATTAAAACTACTCATTTCGACCTTTAATTGACTTAAATCGACCTTTTTGACAACAGTGCACAATTCTCACCCGCGAACGAAATTTCAACCAATCAGAGCGGCGCGACTCTGTGACGTCATATGAGGAATAGCTTTGAGGGCCGATGCAGAATTCATCTACATTTTAGGGGTAAATTATCTTGTTTACAGGCTTGTATAAACCTGAAATCGTGACAATTGTTGTGGAAAATGAAAGCTATATGTTCTCACAATCTACTGTCATTTAATTTTGTCTCCTGCTTTGCCTAGTTTCCGAGTTACAACTTGTTTTCATAGACGCTTCTGTCACAATTGATTGGTGTCGTTAGGCCCTATTTGTATAATGACTGATCCAAATTGATCCCATTTCTGTGTTTTTTTACCTCGATATTTAATCATGTCATGTAAAAATCTGTTTGTATTCTCAAAACAGTGTCGGCCCATAAGTTTTCACATGCAATACAGCAATTAATACTCCCTTGTTGTAACCCGTGTTAGGTGGTATAAACCTACACATGTTATTTGTCATCATTCACTTGATGGTCAGTTAATGAATTTATAACAGGTATAATTAGTGGTAACACACTTAGATTACCCGACAAAGGTTCCCATTTGGCATTTCTTGTGTCTGGAGTAAATATTCAACATTATAAACATCGATCAAAGGATTAACCGATAACACGCTGATTGATTAATTACTTTTATCTTACACAGAGGAATTGTCAAAAGGTAGTGTTTATGTATGTAGATTTACTAATCTATACTGAATACACTCTGCCGTGTCGGTGTCTGCGTAAAAACAACGTCCTTCTTTCAAAGGATTAACCGGCAATACATTGATTGATTGCCCATTATTGGCTAACTAAATTACTGTTTTTAATGAAAGGCGGACATTATGCAATTAGTTGCCAGGTGTGCTATCTTGGGTGACCAATGAGACTATACACCAATACCTGAAAAGATTTATCACTTTTTTCGTATATTAAACTGTTAAAAGACACATCATTTGGAACAGTTTTGTGGATATTGATGGATACATTCCTCAAACAAGGTAATGGCCTGATATTGTTCCTATAACTTTAATCTGTTTTAATTTTAATATTTGCATTTTTTTTTTTATTCATTTGTCGTAGCATTCAACAGAATCATTGTTTTCGCCGTGAAGTGTAATGAGACAGACAACATACACTAGGGTGTGTGTGCGAATTATGATTCACATTGGCAAACTATAAAATGTCTAGATATTACAGTTCTGTTATAAATTCACTATAAGTATCAGCAGATCGTCAGCTTTTTATTTAGTTTCAAAATGCATAAAAGTATGATAATAAACTAATTAGGATTATAAGACCAAACATAAAGACGCACATTGACTAGTATCTACATACTGGTGAGTGGACATTAACCATGTGAATGTAGCAAGAAATTTATCGCGCAGTATTGTGACTTCGACCCCACCTCGCTTCCGTGGAAGAAATCGTTATGTTATAAGTTGTGTCATGCAAAATCCTTTTGGTTATGATTCCAATACATATTTAACTACGAGTAGAAAGTAGTTTTGATTTTCTAACTTGATGAAAACAAACTATAATCTCATTAATTCTAACAGACTTTACGATTTTCAAAAATGGCGGCGCCCTGTCGGGAACATCCGCCAGTCTGTGGATAAATGCTATTTAGGTTTGTTTTCACCGAGTTACAAAATCAAAACTACTTTCTACTGGTAGTAAAATATGTATTTTTTATTGATGGCCAATAGGATTTTGCATGACATAGCGTATAACATAACAATTTCTCCTGGCAGCGAGGTGGGTGTCAATATAATACTACTTACAATATTATTGTTACTTCGACCACAACCTCACTTCCAAGGAAGAAATCGTTATGTTACAAGTTGTGTTATGGAAAATCTTTATGGTCATCAATCATATACATATTTTACTATAACTAGTAAGTAGTTTTGATTCTTTAACTTCCGTGAAGCGATCTGAACACAAGTAAGATATCGTTTCAGGCTTCCACAACGCTCGCTTCGCACTCACAAACATAACCCATTTAGCACGAACTGCGGGGTCCTGTGGAAATCTGTGCATGGTGACACCATCACCCGACCCCTAGGAGCAATTGACGACAAAGCAACGATTCGGCATGTCGTCGTTCATGTCGAGAAATCATCAAAATGATGAGCGTGCTACACACTTTCTATACAACTAACTGAAAATCGTTCCTCATATGACGTCACTGCAGTGCTCTGGCGACAGAGTTACGTAACCTGTCTGTGGTTTCGTTGGCGGGCGAGAGGGAAGCAGGTGACTTTTTGGCCACTTTTAATCGCTCGGTATTAATTAACCACAAGTTTTTAAAGAATAACTTTGGTGTTCCGCATAAGACTAACCACAAATCTTTCATATGTAATGGTTAAAAGAGTAACAAAAAACAAAGTTTAGTGGTTCTTTAAAGCGTTGGCTCGTCACGCCGAAGACCCGGGTTCGATTTCTCACATGGGTACAATGTGTGAAGGCCATTTCTGGTGTCCCCCGCCGTGATATTGCTGGAATATTGCTAAAAGCGGCGTAAAACTAAACTCAGTCCTCATTTATAGAATGAATTCTTGTGAACAAGTCAGGGAAGTGGGGTAGCATACTGGTTAAAGCGTTCGCTCGTTGCGCCGAAGACCCGGATTCGATTCCCGACATGGGTTCACTGTGGAGACCATTTCTGGTGTCCCGCGCCTGAATGAATGGTGCATGAATATTGCTAAAAGCTGTGTAAAACTATACTCTAATCGTCACGACCGACATATTTCCAGTCGACCCAGTGTTGCAACAACAAACGCCTTCGACTTGCTTATAAGGTCATATTCTGACTGCAAAGATCGGATCAGGCCAGACGAATTGATGAACTGTTTGTTCTCTCCCTGTGACATCGACAGTGAGTACCTTTCCAGAAATACCAGGCCTACCAAAGAAAACTTTCCCACTGTGCAGAAAAACGCAGAAAAGCCCACATTAATCGTGGAAATAGCAACATAAACATAATACCTCGCTACTGAAACAGTGAAAACGGCAACTTTAAATCGCTAACACTGCATCATAAAACGAGGAGCCCGCAACTTCGATTTTGCGCATGCGCACATGGAAGAGGAAGTCTCGACCGCATGTTGACATTTTCCAGCTTGGACAAAAGTTACATTTCTTTTTAAGTATTTCTGTTGTGTTATTTGTCATTTATCATCATGATACTTGTGTGCACACTTGTTTAGTTTACTTTCCATTCGTATGAAACAACTGACAGCGATTATTTCGACATATTTAATACTTTTTTTACGCGAGGCGATTCACGGTTGCTCGGAAATTGGAAAGAAGCCCGGATCGTAATGCACATGCGCAGTAGAGGTCAAAGTTCGCTGATTACTATGAAAGCTATGAAAATGTTGCAGTTTCATAGTTTTTCGTTGCAGTTTTTACTGTTTCAGTAGCGAGGTAATGTGTTTATGTTGCTATTTCCACGATTAATGTGCGCTTTTCTGCACAGTGGGAAAGTTTTCTTTGGTAGGCCTGTATACCTAGTTGCCAGATCTATACAGAAGTGACTGGGGTAGCCTAGTGGTTAAAGCGTTAGCTCGTGACGCCGGAAACCCGGGTTCGATGGGTACAATGTGTAAAGGACCTGGTGTCCCCTACTGCGATACTGCTTGAATATTGCCAAAAGCGGCGCCATGAATGCGTAAAGCTTTAATCGATATTTAGGAATCACAATAGCACTGGGAAAGGGCGTAGTTTATAGTTACCTCCTTGGAATCACGTCATGTTGACAGTGAAAAAAAAGGTTAAAGTCTCCTTTGCCATACATAGCTTTGTTTTGCAGAAAATGGTAACATCAGCAAGCGCGAATGGCAGACAGAAAGCCACAGACTTGGAATGGACATGGCTGACCATGGAAAGATTGCGCGAACCTTCATCGAGTTGGACATTAACAAGGACCTCCAAATAGACGCACCTGACCTCGAGTATCTCTTTGCCTTCTTTGACGACACCGGTGAGAGGTCCCCTTTTCGACATCCATTCCACAAGACTAGAAACGTTTTATTACAAATGTTAACACAGTAACTTGAGTCCTTTGGCTAGAATGACACGCAAGTGTGGCTTGAAATGGAGAGAGCAATAATATTATTTTCCCTTTTTCAGGCGACGGGCTTCTCAGCCTTCCGGAGTACATTTACAATTGGCAGTCTCTCATCTCGTAGTTCTTGAGAACTGATCTTTCCAACAGAAGAGACGAAATAGAACGCAGGAATAACATCGTTTATTCTACAATATGGTTACAGTTTAAAAATAAAATGCGGTTGCCATCCCTGACCTCAGCTTTGTTACCATTGTCGCCAGACATCCTCTCTTCAACAGCCATCTGAAAACTGACATCAATCATTTCTTTAGCTTCTGCATATAGGATCACACTACAACATGTCTCACGTCGTGCTTGTGAGTTTAGTTTAAGCAGCAATATGGCGGTGATCAGCATCGATCTGCGCAATTGGGAACCGATGACATGTGTCAACCAAGTCAGCGAGCCTGATCCCGTTAGTCGCCTTTTGTGGCTGAAGATCTTGCCATCCACTTCAAAAGATTAAGAAACACTGTGCACACCCAGGAATATGAAATCAGAGATCTTTGTTGTTTAAAAATATCCCGTGGAAAACACAACGAACCATCATGCAATCAGTCAATATTTTCCATGGATACTACTGACATTTACCAAAGTTCCCTCCACGAACCTGACACCAGATCGACTTTATTGCGCAAAACTCTTGAGGTGAACGACTTGATCGTTTAGAACTTCAACAAAGCATAGAATTCTGCATGGTGTGACATATTGCATACACTATTGTAAAATATAAATAGCTCATCCTCCATTGTGGGATATCGTCTTACATGTGAAACGTTTCCAAAAAGTATATGTCCGCTCCATTACTTTTCAACGAATGGAGTGCTAGATATAGGTGAGTTTAGTTTTACGTCGCTTTCAGCAATATAACGGCATTTTGACAGAAATGGGCTTCACACGTTGTGCTTATGAAAATACTTCGAACCTGTAATTTAACGTGACGAGGTAATATCCAAGAGGCTACCCCATTCCGTTAAAAAATGTGACTCGGCTCCATGGTTTCTTTTAAGGAATGGAAATTGTCCAAGATATCTTACCCATCACTTAAATGCTGAGCAGCAGATACCATTACTACTCTTTGCTAGTTGTATTGAAACAGTCAACAATGGCTTCAAACAAGAAAGAAAGTGGGGACATCTACATTGAATGGTGCTGGAATCAAACGGGATGCTGTTTTTGTTGATCCAGCTTGGATTATGAACAGAACAGTTGGTGAACAAGAAGGGACATGATATCGTACAGAATATAGTTTGGGTGTATAGGGTCCGTAAGTAGGTCACGGCATTTCGTGAAACCTTAGTAGTTCCGGTGACAAACGTCGTTTCATACCGTTTGGAATGGTCTCGTGCTTAACAATAAGGAACTGCTAATCCTTGCATAACAAATTTCCGATTTAACCATCCCCAAATTATCATCATCCTTTATTTAAGTATATATGGCCACGAGGCCAACAGTACAACATGTGTAAAACAGTAAGGTAAAGACATGCATATGCACCGTACTGAGAATGTAGATCTTATTACAATTGATACGATTATATGTTAAGACATTTTTGTTTCGATCGACTGACTGAGTTTGGTTTTACGCCGCTTTTAGCAATATTCCAACAACATCACGGCGGGGGGACACCAGAAATGGGTTTCACACATTGTACCCATGTGGGGATTCGACCCCGGGTCTTCCGCGTGACGAGCCAACGCTTTAACCATTAGGATACCCCACCGTCCCTGTTTTGATCGAAGTACAAACACTTTTTAAAGAAAGATACAGTCTTAATAGTCTATTTTTATCGCTTGTTCTCATCAACGCAATAAACATTTGGACATGAGGGTATTTATGACAGTATTCAGGTAAATATTTAGCACAATACTCATTGTAAAGAGGACATACTAATTCAACTTCTAGGTCAGTCACACAGGAACTACAAAACGCAGTTTCATAGTTTTTTGATTATCTATACGAATTAACATTAAAATCATGTACATTACAACGAAGTTTTGTCAAACATATTCGTAAATCTTTTGAAGTAATAGTTACAAGATATTTTTCAAGAAAAATGTCAGTCTTTATGGTTGAATAGAACGTCAAGGATTCGGAAAAAGCTATATATTGATGCCACTCTTTATAAATATCTTTGCAACGCTGTTTAAAATTCTCCAGAAAACATTTCTCGTTACCAACATCTTCTACTATCCATACATAACCATAACCAAAACCGTATCTCAAGAACATTCTCACTTTTGATACCCAGTTCTCATCCCCCATTATCATCTAGTCTTTTTAACATTTCTTTGTATATCTGTATGGCGGTTGTCACCCCCAAATTAGCCAACTACTAGCCACATAAAGAAACTGTGCACACAGAAAATTCCTTCAGAATTGGATTACAACACAGAAAAGACGAAATGTTGTGGACACTTTATAAGCTGAAGTATCGGGCCACAACAACATGTCAAAAAGAACATGAACATTATCCGTAACGATGACGTCAGAAGTTCAAAATTGTGCCGGGGGTCACACGTCAAAGTCAATAACGGGGATGACCATCATGCGCGTGAAGCACAGCAGTGCATGGATGACGCATGGAGGCTACCAAATGAGCACTGAAGGCCTGGGGAACGGTTTGGGACGTGGTCACTGCCGTCTGGAACCAGTGTCTGATATGAGTCACCCGAATCCATCTGTCCTGTCTTAGCGTCGTTAGTCGGGGACGCCCAGAACGTGGGTTGTCGGCAAATTATTACTGTTTCCATAACATCTGACCAATGCAGATATCGTGTTACGATGACATTGGAAATGTGCTGCCACCTGTTGTTGGCTCATGCCTGCTCGAACAATTCCAATGGCTTCATGACGTTGAGCAGATGTTAATCTTGGCATGATGTGCATGTGACTTCTCATGTGAATTTGTGAACATTTGGATGACCAAAGATCAAGCTTTCGACAGTGACAGCAATTTCTGAGTTCCACATGTGTGCAGCTGCACAGGCTGCACGTGCAGTAACACATTGCAAGTCCATAGGCCACCATCAATGACGTCACGTCGCCTGGCACCTGCATGAGCATTTGATTGTCTCCAATACTTGCTATGTTCGCACCTTTATTTATGTATAAAGACACTGTCTGCCTATCTTTATATTTTCTATGTGCACAGTTTCTCTATGTGGCCAGTATATTATGACTCAACAGCTGTGGCAGCCAAGCGGGTCTAGTAAAGTCATATTTGGCGGTCGAACAATTTTTAACCAGAACTGGTTCTTGAATATATGCTTGTCATCTGACACCTGGCACCGGAAGTAATCTGGGCCGCAAAGGGAACCATGCAGGTTGGTACCGGAAGTAGTGCGAGACAGGCGCTATTGTTCACTGAAGGAGAAACAGTGAGCGAGCTTAGTTTTACGCCGCTTTTAGCAATAATCCAGCAATATCCCGCCCAGAAATGGGTTTCACAAATGGGTTTCACAAAGAGACCCATGTGTGGGGGTGTGGGGTGTGGGGTGCGTGTGATCGAACACGGGTCTTCAGCGTGACAAGCTAACGCTTTAATCACAAGGCTACCACAAGGCTACCACAAGGCTACCCCATCACCCTGAAGGAGAAACATGGCTGTCACAGTTGATGCATAAGTGAGTGAGTGAGTGAGTTTAGTTTTACGCCGCACTCAAGCAATATTCCAGCGATATGGCGGCGGTCTGTAAATAATCGAGTCTGGACCAGACAATCCAGTGATCAACAGCATGAGCATCGATCTGCGCAATTGGGAACCGATGACATGTGTCAACCAAGTCAGCGAAACTGACCACCCGATCCCGTTAGTCGCCTCTTACGACAAGATAGTCGCCTTTTTATGGCAGATGCATAAGTGGGTTAAGGATGAACCTTCACAGCTTTTCTACCTTTATTCTTTGGACATACTCGTCTTCATATTTATGACAGCGTTTTGCCGTTTATAGTCAGTACCACAGGGGCGTCTCACGCTTAGAAACAGCGTTAGAAAGACGTAGGTATATAGACCCTACCCTAGTACTATACAACCGCCTCCGTGGTGTAGTGGTTAGAGCGTCCGCCCGGAGAGCGGAAGGTCGCGGTTCGATCCCCGACCGCGTCATACCAAAAGACGTTAAAATATGGTACTTGTTGGTCCCTGCATGGCGCTCGCCATTAATGGGTACAACAAGGACTGGTCGGCTCGGAGTCAGTATAATGTGTCTGAGTGGGGTATTCATGCTTCACTGCGGCATGGTATCTCAGTGGGCTAGCACTATAAAACCAGCTTCAGTCTGGGCTAGTACAAGCAGCCGCACACGCATGCACGTCGTCATATGAGCGAAATATTCTCCAGCACGACGATAAACCCAATTTCACCTCACCTAGTACTATATAAAAAGAAAAGGGATGTAACGACGGAACCACCCCCGCCTCAATCTAAGTTAGATTTCACCACGTAAACTATTTTTAAGGCCCCGTCGAGGCCTACGGATCAAAAGCGAGATGATTTCCCTACAAAATGAGTTATAAATAGTCATAATCGGATCATTATTTCAAAAGTTATACGCCACGACTCACCGAAAACAGCTACCTCCACAATTCCAAGCCAACATCATGGATCACCCAAGACAGCAAAAACTCACCTATTAAATTCGTTTATTAATTCCAGCCACGTTGACAGCACTTATGTAGGGCTAGATTCGATCGGCAGCGGCATTCCACGGGTCTAAAAAACTTACTGCAACATCTACAAATCATTTCCTCGACAGTAAGCAGATATTTCCTCCAAAACCATCGGCAGTCATACTCACTTGTCGGCCATAGATGGCCTTGACATTCAAGTGATCTGAGCAGATCCGCTGAAACGAAATTGGGCCATCCGATTGGTGAAAAATATAATATACTGTAAGATTTTGACTGTTGCCAATGGGCGCGAAATATGAACTTGCAATAATCCTTTATTTTGGATGATGTACGGAACAGTAAATTGTTACGAATAGTTTTAGAGGTTGTAAAAATGCATTCGATATTGATTCATTTTTGGGAAATTATATTTATAAATATTTAACCTCTAAAATTATTCTTATAAATTTACTGCTCAGGTCACTTAAATGTCAAGGCCATCTATGGCCAACAAGTGAGTATTATTGCCGATGGTTTTGTAGGAAATGTCTGCTTACTGTCGAGAAAATGATTTGTAGATGTTGCAATAAGTTTTTAAGCGTGACACGCCCCTGTGGTCAGTACTGTGATCACATCGACAATCAGACATTCGAAACACCACCAGCCTAACAATCGTCAACTTTATGATCTCCACTACATCTTGTGCACACAATTGAAGCGTGTCCAAAACTGTTGACATTGTTGCCAATCTCACGGCTGGGGGAACAAATACGTACGATTGAACGTACATTTGGACACTTTCATGAAGATGGGCTGTTCCAAATGTAAGCAAAACAGTGGTAATTTATTATTCCTAACCACGAAGTAAACGCGTTGCTTGACTTTTTTACCCTAAGTTGAACCATTTCCTCAATGTTCACAAAGCCAACACTGTAAATGACTTCCTTGTTTGGCTTAGACCCCTCGGGACACTGCCCGTGACACGAATGTCCCAAAGTGAGCTTAAGGCCAAGGGTCCTTTCAAATGATCAGCTGACTTGCAGTGAATCACTAGGCCCCCTTTACTAGTTTTCACGAACTCAACTTCACCTAATTTAATTAGACAGTCGGATTCCCCTGGTCCGTGCCAGTTCTGAGTCGGCCGTTGCTTACCAAACGACGCGGAAGAAGGTCCCACCAAAGAGTGGACTCAAATTTTGGAGTTGACTACAGGCTTGACTGACATTTGTTCTAAGGTCCGTCATGGTGTTAACGTTTTTCTTAATGTTCCCGACATAATTTTCGGCAAATTTTGATTCGTTAGATGCTCCTTCGAAGGTGCTTAGAATATCATTCCTGGCGCGTTTAAGCCCGAAATTATCTCCATATCAACGACCAACAAAGTAATCGCCCAAAAAACCCCATAACAACCCCAGACACGCCACGTTGGGTTAGTAGTCCGTGCAACACAACACAAGCAACACATTGCAAAATAATACAATATTTTAAACTGACCGTATTCTTAGCTTACCTTGATAATATTATTGGTATGATCAGTTTTCAAAAGACAGAACAAAGATGAAACCGTTGCTACTGTAGCCCGATATCTACCAATATACAGGTTGGGGAAACCTACCGATCGGCCTATAAAAGGCCGAACGGGATATTATAGGCCGTTCTGCCTATTTTGCTGTAGGCCGATCAGGCTATATTTGACCATTATTATTAACAGTTCACAAACTATCAATTTCCGCACGAAATGGTTTTATTAGATCATAGAGATGAATAGTTAATGAACCTGCTCAGCTTGAAAAAAATAAGTTTTTGGACAAAATGAAAATTAATATAATGTTCAGGAAAAGATGTTTCATTTAAGAACACAATTTTGCACCGATTTTCCTTTTGAGAACTAAAACTGAATATCTATGTCATTAATTTTCAGTGAAAATTGTCAAAAATATTATAGTCTTATATTTAATTAGCAATTTCAAAACTCCTTTATTATGGGATGAAAATGCTCAAAAAGGGTTTGAATGAAAACCTTAGGACATCAAAACTTGAATGATGTGAATATCCTCATGCGGAAATGCACCACTTCAAATTTATTTGATGAATATCATAATTATAGGCCAATCGACCTATAGCAAAATTATAGGCCGATCGGTAGGTTTCCCCAACCTGATATAGGAATAACAACGGTCAGTATGTCCGACCTCGCTGACAACGTAAGTCGATCCTCGATAGAAACTGGATAGGTCAATTGACATCCTTGCCTCGAGAAGACGATGTATTCATTTCAGCCAGATAATACTACTCTACTGAAATTGTCACACAAACAGAACAAAAACAAGCCCCACGATTCACATCGTCACGAAATATCAAACCATTTCAAATCGTCATGTTACGCTCATCACAATTACAAATACAAAAGGAAATTCCATTGATGTCAGTATGACCGTTTTTCAATCATTCAGCAAATGACTGAATGGGAAAACAAGAAATGACAACGACGAAGTCTCGGCACAAAACAAACAATAACCGTAACAACGGGAATGTACACACGGCGCCAGCAAAGGTCAACCACGGAGCCGATGTTCGAAGCAAAAACTCTCATACTTTGACATAGTTTTATCATTATTTTTTACGCCGCACTCAGCAATATTCCAGCCACATGGCGGCACTCTGACATAGACTAACTACAACACAATCGTAGTGCTAACGCTATTTTCTACAATGACACCCTGGACTGCACTTGCAATACGAGTCGTCATCCAAATTAATTAAAATTTAACTTCTTTGAGTGGCATTTTAGAAGTTGGGAAGTACAATATAGAACAAACTTTATGGATAACAACTTCTTTTTATTCGTGCGTGCGACGTTTCGATACAGATTCTTGACATTATGATTGACAACGGTACAAGAATCTGTATCGAAACGTCGCACTCACGAATAAAAAGAAGTTGTTATCCATAAAGTTTGTTCTATATTGTAATTAAAATTTGCAATCACAGTTCAACAATTCAAGATTCTATCAACAATGAGCCCAACATACCAAAATGGCGTGTCCGCTTCCCAAAGCTGGTACATTTTGTAAAGGGCTGTCACGTGACCTGCTCTCCAGCAACTGCACGGACTGCATGTGCCAGAGCCCCGGATGTTCTTGGCAGACCAAGGGTAAGGTGAGCTGTTCAAACCAACATCAGGAACTTGCAAGAAAGGTATGGTGAAACGTTGGCGCCAAAATCATGCTTAACAGCTAACAATATGAATGACAAATAGAGCCTGCGACCGAAATTTGGCGAGTTTTACGATGTACCCAATTTTCAGTAATTTTACCATTCCTGCAATGATATTACAGAACTGGGAATTTCAAAACACGAATGAAGCGTAATTGAATGGAAAGACACGTGTTTCAACGATCAACAATCTGCATGCAAATGAAGGGGTTAAAAGCTTCTCACAGTCAGTAGCGTGTGTGTCCACCTTGAACAGTGATGAGCGAGTGAGTATAGTTTTACGCCGCTATTAGCAATATTCTTGCAATATCACGGCGGGGACACCACCAATGGGCACACACTGTACCCATGTGGGGAATCGAACCGAGGTCCTCAGCGTGACGAGCGGACGCTTTAACAATTAGGCTACTCCACCTCCCCTGGACAATGATAAAGGTCTGGCCCATTCGCCTCATTGAGGCAATTTAACGTCCGCCACAGTTTGTCGCGGAGTAACGTTTTGATATAAGCCAGTAATTTGGTCGAATATAGTGTTTAATTGTACAGCTTCTTTCTCCCTCTCACAGTGCAAACTAAAGTCCTTCAGCATCCATTTAAAGAAAAACGTAACGCTTGAAAACGTGTCTCTGTGGTTAATTCCAGTATGAGTGAGTGAGTTTAGTTTTACGCCGCACTCAGCAATATTCCAGCTATATGGAGGCGGTCTGTAAATAATCGAGTCTGGACCAGACAATCCAGTGATCAACAGCATGAGCATCGATCTGCGCAATTGGGAACCGATGACATGTGTCAACCAAGTCAGCGAGCCTGACCACCCGATCCCGTTAGTCGCCTCTTACGACAAGCATAGTCGCCTTTTACGACAAGCATGGGTTACTGAAGACCAATTCTAACCCGGGACCTCGGTAATTCCAGTATGAACCAGGAAAGCCACGACAAGCATCTTATATTTGGGACGGTGTTGCTGGTTATTGTTTAACGCCGAACAAAGGAATATGTCAGCTACATGGCGGCGTTCTGAAAATAATGTGGACCAGGCAATCCAGTGATCAACAGCATGAGCATCGATTTCCGATGTGATACGATGATGTCTCTCAACCAAGTCAGCAAGTCACCCGATCCCGTTAGTCGCCTCTTACGACAAGCATGGGTTACTGAAGATCAAGTTCTAACCCGGATCTTCACGGGTTTGATTCTGTATTATATATTATGTTTCTGAGTGGATAATATTGAAGTTATATCCCAGTGGGTTAGCCATATAAAACCGGCATACGGTTATACCAGGCTAGCATCACGAAACGTTCGTGGGCCTACGAACGTCTTTCGCCCATTTCAACAAATTGGCTTTAACAAAGTTAAGAATTCTTAGGGCTACGATCTTTTCGAGAATAAGGACCCAGGACCAACAGCCACAAACATATATTTGTGGTGGCGCGAGGTCCTGTGCATAGAACTCAGATCACAAATCAGCTCAAGTAAAGCAACGTTGAGCTTGACTCCTGAGAGTTTTAGGACTTCAGTCCTGCCCCCACAACGAAATACATGTTATGCATGTGGTCTCACCTTAGGCACGTGAGTTCATCCACCAGAAAATGGGTACCCTGTGGGATATGTCAAATGACTATAACCTTCTAGCACCTAACAGGCAGCTTGGGCTATCCGGGGTAATAATGTTGTGGTGTTTGTGCGCGCTTTGAGCATACCCCTTTGTAGTGTGGAGTATTGCGCGGTAAGTACCGCTCAGTATAATTTAAAAACCGAACGCGTTATATAAGTAAATTGACGATGAACCGGAATTTCCTATCACCCCAACCTCTCTGGACGCTGGTTTAGTTCTACTCAATGTCCTCCTTAGTTCTTAAAAATGATTAAAATCGTTTAAGGATACTGTTTTAGTAACATTATGCCGCGCATTGCAGGTGAATGAAATGCACAATATGATACAATTGCCTCAGAGGTTTCCATTGTGGCGAAACCCACGAGCACATACTTGGTGCTTAAAGACCGTGAGACATAATCAGAAAGAACTAGACAACCGACGTTATGATGACAGGTTCAGGGTCGCCTAAATGACGTGCTGACAGACATTGATTGCGGATCCTGAGTCAGCGAAGGGATGTAACCATGCACATTGAATTCCTGGCCCTACATCCCCTCTCAGTTTACAGTGATACACAGCAATCTTAAACTTCACTTCACTCAGATTTTGCCACACAAGATATTTACATGTATCATATACAAGACGCCATCGTCAGAGCTCAGCAGTCCAGGGCCTAGATTTTCGAAGCTCTCTTTGCGCTACATTGGATGTACTATACTACTGTTGTTCGCTAAATTGTAAGCATTTACTGCACTTCGGGCAAGCTGCATATATATACATTTATGCATATGTATATGAAATTGAACCAACTGCATATTGTCTAGATACTTTAATATTGCCAAGATCGGAGTGAAACAAAAACAAACAACTGATTTATATACGTCATCAGGTTTGGAAATGTCCTATTCGGGTAAAGCTGCCCTCCAGCCTGCATGCAGTTGTTTGCTGAGTTGAGCCACCAGAGTGCTGTAGGCGGCATCATAAGCCAGGTTCTTGTTTTCCTGAGGATCGCCATAATGGTCGTACAGTTCCACACCAAACACTTGGGTCCAGTCCGGTTTGTACACAGGTTCTAGGTTGAATTTGACCCACTCTGTGTATCTGTAATGATCGGTGGTCATGCTGTAGCCCATTTGATCTCCGTTGTATTCATTCCTCGGATACTGGGAGAACACAGCCTTCTTCCAGTTGGGACTTGCTGGGTTTGTTATCAGAGGTATCAAACTAGAGCCTTCAGTGCAGACTAGAACGTCGGTGGAGTTTTCTGGACAAAGATTAATAGGAGGTAGACCTGCAGCTTCTACCAGAGTAGGAAACAGATCTACAAACTCGGTGAGTTCTTCAGTCACAATGCCCTTGTCAGTGAGACCCGGCACATGCACCATCATCGGGGCGTGGGTGGCGATTTCAAAGTCCGTGTGTTTGCACCACTCACCGTGTTCCCCAGTTGCCAACCGTGATCTCCCCAGAAGGAGATGATTGTGTTGTTGGCGAGTCCTTGATTCTCCAGCTCCTTGATAATTCGTCCGACTTCGTAGTCCGTGTAGCTGAGAGCGCTGTAGTAGGCTCTCCTCAAGTTGAGGATGACATCGTGTGGGACTGTGGTGTTGATATCTCCCGTAAGATTTAATTTCGCAATGTCATCGTATAATCTGAGCTCTGTATAATTAGTCCATGCGATGTCCGGCATCTTATCAGGAGCGTATGGGTTGGCTGGAAGTCTGATGGAGGACTCGGGGTACATGTCAAAGAACATCTGTGGTGCCACAAAGGGAAGATGAGGTTTGTGGAATCCTTGAGCGATGAAGAATGGACGTTCTCCAGATCTAGCTTGAGGGGCTGCTTCTCTGATCATTTTAATCGAATGGTTATTATTCTGGGTGTCTTGAAGGGAGTCGTTCTTAAGTGCATCCATTGGCACGTTCATCCAGGAATTATGCCCCTTGTATACAAAAAAAGTTGAGTTAAACCCTACTTCAAAATACGGGTCTGTCCAGGAGATCGGGTCGTTGTGGTTAGAAGCATGTCCAGGGTGGAAAATCTTTCCAGCTCCTATCGTTCTGTAGCCGTGTTCCTTGAAATACTGAGGGATGGTGGTGAAGTTACCTCCTACTTCTCTCCAGTAAGCATGTAGATCATATACATGGGTAGTGTCCGGTCTTCGTCCTGTGAGGAGAGATGATCTGCTCGGGGAACACACAGCCTGCTGAACATGGGCTCTCTTTAACAGAAGACTCTTCCGAGCGAGGGCGTCAAGGTTTGGTGAATGTATCGGAGGATGTACAGGACTGGGGAAGTCTTTTCCTTCAAAAACAGAGAGTTCCGGCCTCATGTCATCAGCCACTAAAAACAACACATTCATACGAGCCTGGGCGGCTGTCACCGCCAGCAGCAGAAGAGTCACCCTCAACATTATTGCGTCTAAATCACACTGTGTTCAAGCTGACGAGAATGGATTTATATATCTTCTAGCCTGTGAAGACAACAGACGATTCTTATCACTTGGAATGTTTGAAATTTCATGATTGAAAAAACATAAAATATACTGAAATGCAAAAGTTATTGCAATATGCAAACAACAAATGAAAAAGAACAAACAGAATCAGTGATAAAGATTTAATGAATTGATATTGCATTGAAAAGTCAAATGTTGTAAAGTATTGTAACCATCGACAAGCTCACCTCGCAAATGCATATGATCCACAACATAAGAGGGGATTCATAAGGAAGTTCACACGGTCAGTAGCAAGTGTGTCAACCTTGTGAATTGGTGCAGGGCTGACACCTTCGCCTCTTTGAGGTAATTTAACGTCGAGGCAAGGATATATCATTCCATATGCCAGGAAGAATTTGACAGAGTTTCTGCAGTGTTGTTGGAGTACTCGGACATCGCAAACGTCGCTCCATTTCATCCCAGAACGTCCGTTCACTCTGTCAAGGGCGGTGTAGCCAAGGGGTTATTCACCGGGTTCATTCCCCCATATGGGTACAATGTGTGAAGCCCAGTCGCAAGAGTTGCTCGTAAAAGCATTATTCCAGTGTTGCCAGGATGACATCGACGTCGATGTATCTGTGTCGTCAGAACTGTCCGACGTGGGGGGCACTGAGTGGTATTAATCTGGTATTAATGTAAGACTCCTCCCAGTCTAGGTTGGGTGAATGAGAGGATGAAAACTTGATAAACCTTCACATTCGTCTTAGCATGAACGACAGTAGATTCCAGAAACCAAAACATCAGCTTCCCAGACACTGAGGTCGGCAACAAAAAATGCAGA